GCAAATGGCCCCTCAAACTGCAGCCACACCCCACAGCAAAGGCTGCCATTTCCAGCCTTCGATATGACTCTAATCTCAGTGCAAGTTTGGATTTGCTGCTTGACCTCCCAGGATCTTGATTTCTCCCTCTGCTAAACGACGGACATTGGAACAATCTCTAAGCTTCAGAAGTCAGAGAATCAAGAGAAAACATGAGGTGGTGCACGCCTGTAATCCCAGGGGCTTGAGAGACTGAGGCAGGGGGATCGTGAGTTCAAAGCCAGCCTCAGCAACTTAGTGAGGCCCTAAGCAACTCAGTGAGACCCAGTCTCTAAATAAAATTTTTAAAAGTACTGGGGATGTGGCTCAGTGGTAAAGCACCCCTGGGCTCAATCCCTGGTACCTAAAAGAAAAAAGAAAAGATGACTGGACCTGGAAAGTAGCTTGGAGTTTGTTCCATTTTAGAAAAGCTGTCTGCGAGGCTGGTGGGCAGAAAGCACTGCATAGACACGGACGGAGCACTAAGAAGGGAAGACTGCAGGTGAGTCATTGCCATAACCTGGTGCCTGGTCCAAAGGAGTCCTCCGACCCCGAGGACAGGAGGGCACAAGGTCAGTGGGGCCGGAAAAAAGGCTAGACTTTTGTAAACTCCTGAGTCTGGTTGAGGCTCCACCACAGCTGCCGGAGGGCCTTAGGCACGTGGTGAGTTTCAGCAAGGCTTCCTCATCTTAAAATAAGGACTGTTCCACCAGCGACTGCAAAGAGTTGCAGTTAAGGGATCAAGTGTCCAGTACATAGTAGGGACTCAGCTGCAGGCAGCAAAGATGAAAACCGACCGCATGTGCACTTACATGGAAGAAATGAGCCTGAGTGAAAGCCCAGGTCTTCTTGAATTATTCAGCAGAACTTCTAAAGATCTTGATCTTGCAACTGGCTCAGGAATACCTCTCTCTATTTACACACACACACACACACACACACACACACACACACACACACACACACACAGACCCCAGTCAGCCTGGGGTGTCCTCAGGCATAGGAAAAGCACACGTGGAACAGGTACTGAGGCGGTCACTCCAGCCCTGGGATCCAGGCCAGAATCCCAGTGCAGCCTCCTGCTCCAGTGGGGTCCAGCTGGGCCATGCTCCATTCCTGAAGCCAGTGACGCCCAGAAGTTCTGGCCTCTCCTTGGGTCACTCCTGAGGTGGCTGTCCCCTTTTCAGGAGCTCAAGAGTGGCCGGAGAAGAAGGGATGAGGACAGCGTGCTGCTGCCCCTTGGGATGTTCGGCTTAGCCAGGCCAGGGACATGGCTGTAAAACCCGGCTGAGGCAAATGGTCAGATCTCCCAGTGTTGCTGTTGGGGGTGCAGAAAGACATGGAGATGAGCAACAAGAGCCCCCAGATTGGGGGTGGAGCCTCAGACTCCAGATAGGCCTGGTCCCTAATAGCTGAGTGACACCAAGCAAGTAAGTTACCCTCTCTGGACCTGGGTTTTATCATAGAAAGCAAGGGGCTTGGAACACTGGAGATGCTCTCAGAGACTGTTGGGCATGGGGTGTTGCTGAGTTTCTCTGATATGGCTTAGCTGGTCTGCTTCTCCTTGGGCGTCGACACTTCAGAATTCAGTTCCTGGAGGCAAACTTCATGCCAGGCATTGGCACCAAGTACTATTGCACCAAGAAGAAAAGGCACAGTCTCTGCTTCTTGGCTGCTCAGGAGCCCCCTGTCTCATGGGGATGTATAGATAAACAAACAGATAAGACAAGACAGCAAGAAGCACCACAGAATCGATTCATTCTTCCAGGGGGACTGGGGAAGAGTCCCCAGAGGAAGGGAAAAAGAGGAAGAGTCTGAGACAGGATCAAGACCTTTCCAAAACACGGAGGGTAGAGAGTACAGCAGAAACGAAGTCAAAGGGAACCAAATATAGGATCGTTTGCCTGTGTGATGGTGCAGAGAGGTACGGAGAACATGAACCCAGAAAGACCATCTGGGGACACAGAGGAAGACTCTGAAAGACAGCCAAGTGGTTCATATTTTATCCTGGGCATAATGAGGAGCCACCAAAGGCTTCCTGGCAGGGGAGTGGCAAGAGCGGATTTGCGTTTAGACAGTTCATTTTGGCAGCAGTGTAGACTCCAGATCACCAAACCATAGCCCCAGGGATCAAATCCAGCCCATGATGGCTTTCATACCACCTGTGAGTTAGAAATAATTTTTATCTTTTTAAAAACAACTACAGCTTTATTGAGATACAATTCACACATAACTCAGCCGTTGAAAAGTGTACGGTTCAACGGCTTTTATAGTACTCAGGGGGTTGTGCAATCACCACCATGGGTCAATTTTAGAACATCCTCATTCCTTCAAAAAGAGGCCCTATACCCTGTAGCCATCACCCACCTATGTTGTCATCCCCTCCCCAGCCCTCAGCAACTACTATGGATATGTTTATTCTGAACATTTCATATAAATGAAATTGTTAATAATTGGCCACTTGTGTCTGACTTCTTTGCTTGTTTTCAAGGTCCTTTTATGTTGTACCATGTTTTTTAGGACCTCACTGATTTTCATGACTTAAGTAATATTCTATTGAATGGACATACCACAGTTTGTTTATCCATTTACCAGCTGATGGACAATTGGGTTGTTTCCACCAAAGAAGAATATGCAAAAGATGTGTGTGCCCCAGAAATCTAAATATCTGCTAGTGGCTCTCTATGGACCCCTGACAGAAGCCATGAGAAGCAAGGGACAGTTTCAAGGTGAGATAGGCTGGTGGCCTCTACTAAAAGGAAGGAAACACATTAGGTATGTGAAATCAGTGGGCCTTGGAGACTGGTTAGATGTTTGGATGGAGGAGTTATTGAGGAGACTTCTTCCTATAAAGCCATTGGGATTCAGAGAGATGAAGCGTGGCCCACGGTGACCACAAGGCTAAGAATCTCATTCTCTTGGTGCAACATGTGGACTTGTGAGGTTTCTGGTCATTATCAATGGGGAGGCCCAAGACGAGTGCCTGAGACGAGGGGCTTCCTTGTCCCCAGTGTCCTCTGAGGCAGCACCTCCTCTAGGAACTGCCTTCCCACCAGTCTCTCTGGCCTTTAAAAGAATCCAAATTCCAGCTGGCAAAGAGGGCGCCTCCCCACCCTGCCCCTGCAGCCACACGTGTCTGTACGCAGCTTGTTCCCAGACTCACCAGGCTCATTCCTGTCTCTGAGCGTTCCATGTGCCCTTTCTTCTCTTAGCAACAGCCTCCCCAGCTCTCTCCTCTACCCAGAAAACTCCTATTGATCCTTCAAACCCCCTTTGAACATTGTGCCTCTTAGAAGCCTGGGCTTCCTTAGCTGTTATCCATCATGTCCGTCACACCGCAGGGTGCCTTTTCTGTCCTGGTGTCTTTCTCCTTCGCTATCCTGAGCTTTGATCTCTCTCCTAGGAGTTTGGAGGACAGCCTGGAACCTGGTCTGTGCCTCCAAAGATCTGCTGAATGAGTGAGGGAGTGAGCTGGCCAATCCGCTTTCCCCTTATCTTTCAATTTCAAGGGACATGTCATTGCTGAAGCCCTCTGGGTCCCGCTGCTTTCCCTCTATTGATTGTGGGATTTATGGCACTATTGTTTCCTTTTATTAGCCTGTAATGGCCTCGGTTAAAATGTGTTACATGGAAATAGGCTAATTATGGGCGTCCAATAAGTCACCCTTCCCCAGAGTGGCCAGCCCTCCCCACACAGTGGCAGCTCTTTGCATGGGAGGCGGGAAGCAGGGACATCTTGTTTCACAGACCAGCGGAGGACCCTGCATGTGTCAAAGGCTTCACCTCATGGCTCCCGGGTGTCTCCTGCAGCCCGTGAGATGCCACCTGTCCGAGAGAGGCTCTGACCGGCACCCATCCCGGGGAACTTGCCTCCTATTCCCTGGAGGGTCCCCAGGTTCTTGGGAAAACGGGGGCACACTCACCTCTCCATCCCAGGAGAAATTCTGTAAGTGCGTTTGAGAGGCTCAGACTTCAGTGGGAGACCTGCTGCACCCACTTCTTTTGGGGGGAGGTGGGTGTACCAGGAATTGAACCCAGGGGGCATTTGACCACGGAGCCACATCCCCAGCCCTTTTTTATATTTTATTGAGAGACAGGATCTCACTAAATTGCTGAGGCTGGCTCTGAACTTGTGATCCTCCTTCCTCAGCCTCCCTGGCCTCTGGGATGGCCCCGTGCCCAGCTGCACCCACTTCTTCTTTCTGATGGGGCACAGGAGCCCTTCTGTGACTGAGGGGCTCTGAAGAGACCCTGGGACCAGTGAAGCCTGGACCCCAGCAGGGCCGTGTCTGCTCTTCCAGACGGCACAGCACAATTCGTTTTGAGTTCTTTGCCACGGAGGAAAGAGTGCCAAACGCATGAGAAAGAGTCCCCTCCACCCACAAGGACACCGGCAGTTGCTCTCTGGCATTGCTGACCCCGCCCCAGTCTGCTTCCTCAGACTCCCTCCTCAGGGCCCTTGGTTCCCTCGCCCTCTCCTCCCCCAACTTCTGAGGCTGCAGTTCTCCAAACGTTCATGGCACACCATGGAGTCGGACCCTGGGCTCCCAGGAGCTTCGGGAACACTGTGTTAAACGGGCAAGTGGAGGCCCTGCAGGGCTTCTCACAGCTCCCTGCGTGTCATGTGCATTATGAATCCTCCAGAAAAGTGTGACAGTTTGGTTATTGTTCCTGACTGACTTTTTACTGCCCTTCCCCCATGTTAGAAGCCTATATCTCTGTCCTTTGCGATGTGACCTGGCAGGGCCTCTCGCTGGGGTAGGCCGCTTTGTCTATTTCTAGTTCCCGTTGGTGCTGGGTTGTCCTGGGACTCCCCTTGGCAAATGGAAGGTAGGCAGAGGGGGGTGGCCGGCACAGGCCCGGCAAGGGTCTCCTGGAGTTCCCTCAGCAGAGCACACCTCTAGCAGTTGCTGTCCTAGAATGCAATAGGAGGGGGAAACTGTACCCAACTCATAGTTGGAAGCAGATTCCTGGGCCAGAAATGAGAAAACAGCATGGAGAGTTTTATTTATCAATGACTGAATTATGAGTTTCCTGTGGCTGCTGTAACAAACCATCACAAACTGAGTGGCTTAACACAGCACCACTTGTTTTCTTATAGTTCAGGGCAGAGGCAAAAAATTAGCTCCCCTGGGCTCAAGTTAAGCTTTTGGCAGGGCTGGGGCCTTCTGATGCCTTGCTTTCTGAGCTCTCAGTGGCCCCCTGTACTCCTTGATTGATGGCCCTTTCCTCCATCTTCAAAACTCCTCACTCTAATCTGTCCTTCTGATACATCACCTGCTCCTTGATTTGCCCTTCTGCCTTCCTTTCAAAGTGGGCCCACGAGTGATCCAGGATAATCTCTCCATCTCATGATGCTTCATTCGGTCACACCTGCAGAGCCATATAAAGTCACAGTTACAGGTTTCAGGCACTCAAACATGGATATATTCAAGGACCATGCTTCAAGTTACCCACTAACATGAAAAAGGATTAAAATACTAAATTATTTGGGGTTTGTTTTGTTTTGTTTTTGGATTTTGTTGGTTTCACAGAGCATCTCAGAATACCCCCTTCCTCCTGTGGATGATCCTTTTGGAAGTCGGGCCCTACACCTGTTATTTGGCATTCCTAGTCTAGTTCTGTTATTATTAGTAAACAGATACCCCATTGCCTATGGCAGGATCCCACATTCCTCCAGAATCGCTCCCATTTGCCAAACCTGTCAAGCAGAAAAAGGTCTCCCTGCCAGGGTTGCGCTGATGATTGATTTACCTGCGATATCTCTGTTCCACACTGGACCAGCCTCAACTTCTTGATAAAAGGCCTTCCTTGCCTGCCTGCCTTTGCCTGAATGGGGAGAAGATAAGTCTTATGCACAGCTGGCTGCCCAGGTGGACAGGGAACACTCTTTGGCTGATGGAGGTAGGGCCTCCCTGAAACCCACCACCATGCATCCCCTCCCCTCCCCTCCCCTTCCTTGAGCTAAGCATGTGGCAGACACCGCCCCGGACTGAGTTGCCCTGTCCTTCCCCGCTCTAGTCAGGTCCCTGGGGCAGGCAGGCAGGACCAGTGTTGCATAAATAAGCAAGCCTGATTCCCCACCTGAAAGCTATGTGGCTGTGGGAAGGCTCCCCGTTTTCTTGGGGTATTGGTTTCCCCACACGCTAACATGATACTACCCATGGGAGCTCCGGGCCTGCCCCTAGCAGACCCTATACCCTTGAGTGTGTGACTCTCCATTTTTCTCATCATTTTACTCAAGTAGCTCAGGCTTTTGGATCCCATGATACTGAATCAACATTTGATGACCTGGACACACTTTTTGTGTCATCATTTCAATTTTGCATTTTCATGAGCTCTTCAAACCAAAATCCCCTTTGAAAACCAAAAGAAAAAAAATGGCAAATTACCCGGATTCCACAACAGACCTATGCATGATTATTAGGCCTTTCCAGGGACCTCAAATCCCCTAGGCAAAGTGGATGTTGTAGAAATAAAATGTCACCAGTGAGTCCTCTGTCACCAGAGCATCCCAGTGTGCAAGCACCCAGAGAGCTCCCATCCTGAAACCTATAGAGATTTTCCTGGATGAAAGAAATGCAAATTTTGCAAGAGGAGGAAGACCAAAAAAGGGTTAAGCCCTGAAAGGTTAGTTTCCTCTACTCTGCCGGCTCTAGAATCTGGGATAATTCCTGCCATTAATATTTTAAGCAACTAATTTGACATTTTTCCATTTAATTAACTCGCATACATATGAGAACAGGGTTTTGAGAGTACCATGACATTTAAACAAAGTCATTTAAGTTTTCCCTTTCCTGGTGGCGTGCTTCTTTTTCTCTTTGCCTTTTTTCTTTTTGCTCCATTTCGGTTTCGCATTCCTGATTCTGAAGCAGAGCTTATTAGCTCTGAGAAATGACCAAATTTCTCAAAGCAAATGTCCCACAGCCCCAACCTAGGTGACTGTGTGTGGGCCCAGAGCTCTGGACTGTGGCTCTTTTCAACTTGAGCCTGCTCCTTTCCGTGCCTTTTCACAAATGGCGTTTCCATCAGCAGGCCCACGTCACTGGCTAATGTTTTCCCCGTTGCCACCCCAACCCGGGGTGGGGGTGGGGGAGGGGCGGCAGGAATGCAAAACATTTATCAAACGCAACCATTGCCACCGAAGAGCTGGGGTTTCGAGAGGGAAACAATAGCTCCGTGACAATTTTCTCTTCCAAATGACAAATAATTGCTGTCATATCATCAAATGATTAAGAAATAAAGGAAAATAGACAAATGGAGTGTATCCATTGAGGGATGGCTTGGGGTGGGGGGTGGGGGCTGGGGAGAAGCTTGCTCAATGTTCCATAATTGAAAAATTGCACCCTAATTAAGCTCCCACCCCAGAGAATTCATGAGTTGTGTGTGCCATCCAATCCAAAGCCCGCCAAGTCGCAGAACTTGCAGCCATTAAAGTTTACTGCTGGTTTCAGAAGGGACTGTGCCGTCTCCAAATGCATTCGCAGAGTGAGGCGCTTCCTTTTGCCCAACCCTCAGAAAAGACTCATTGCTTCCTACTTTTCATCTGCCGTAATTAATCACAGATTATCTCTGCCTATCAACATCTCCGGCTGCTCTCCCCAAATGAACCTGGGCATTCCCATCTCCAACTTATCCATGGTGGCCAGACCAGCCAGGCTCACACATGAAACCGGAGCTGCATGCCCAAGATGCAAAATGGCATCCGTGAGTCCCAGGCATGAGGAGGAGAACGGGTCCTGCATTTAAAACAAAATTCCATTGCAAACCACGCTCACAGGACCCTGGAGAAATTCCATGCCTTCAATTCTCCCACAGTCAGGATAGTCTTTGGGGATTTCTAATGAGGCTGTCAGACTGCAGGAAGAATAGCACCATAAAAGAGTTGGGTCTGTATTCTCTTCCAGTCCCAGGTCCATGACCTCATTAGCTATGCGATCTTGGGAAAGGGACTTGGTTTGTCGGAATCTAAGTTTTTCCTTTTGAAAAATGGAGATATAAGACCTACCTTTCAGGAATATGATGGTGTTAACTGGGTGGAGGTTTCCTTGGTTCTTTTCTGCCTGAGAGAGAGAGTTGAAAGGCTTAAGGGGTCAGACACGGTGGGACTCAACCATAATCATAGGAACTCGAGGGCCTGAGACAGGAAGATTGCAAGTT